AAAAAAATTAAAAAAAATAAAAAAAATAAAAATCTGAGGCTAAACATTCGGATGGTAAAAATTTCATCAAGCATAGAGGTATAAAGTTCTTATATTTATTTTATAATACAATTCTTTAGTGTGAAGCTGGAACTTTGCTTTAATAGAATACTATGATATAACTGGGTCTTCTTTATCTTTTCCTGTTACCTTGAAAGAAGCATATTTCCCCACTTACAAGTTATAAGAAAGAGTTATAGACATTTTCTGTAATCCTTCACCTTCTTTGCTCATTCATTTATTCAAAATGTATTATTGAGTACCACTGATATACTAAGCGTTCATTCTCCTGGGTATGAGGCAAACATTAGGGAACAAAGAGAATCCACAACAGGGATTACATTCAGGTATACATCAGGAGGGAGAAGACCTGTAAGTAAGTTAATAATATAGTATGCTCGAAAAGGGTAAGTGCTTTACAGCTGGATGAGATGGAATCATCTGGGAAGCAAGTGTGCATGTCGAGGTGAAGAGGGCAAAGACTGAACCTGGGGAGAAATTCCATCACGGAGAGATAACTTTGTGAGAGATAGTGGAAATCAACCTTTATCCCTTGCCCGTGACACAAACTTATGGTCAGTGTCAACTTCATCATTCCAGGTTTGACTCTAGTAACAAAAAACCAAAATCTCACCATTATATAGTGAAAAGATACTTATACTGAATGATAGAGAGGCCGGAACTCTCCTGTAAGCAAGATCCTGGCATACTGACTAATTAACTATGTTTTATTATAGCTCCATGAGACAGGGAGGCCTTTTTACTTTCATTTTCTAGCCTGAGCCGTTTAGTCATTGAGGGTTTAGTTAAAAGACTTTTAAAGGAAGTTGGGAGTGAGCCATGTAGTTTGAGGGAATAGTTGGTTACTGGTCAGGGTGCCTTTGCAGTCTGAATTCAACCTTCTCTAGGAACTAAAGGGCATTCATTGGTTGCCTTTCCTCTGATTATGAAACATTAAGTAAATCCTTTTTTTGGACAGGATAACTGCTCAGATTTCCACTTCTGGTGCTATCAAATACTGATGAATATTTTATATAGCTAAAATTATTCCCTGATATAAGCATATGCTGCATGTACAACTAATCAAATATTCAGCCAAGTCGCATAGCTTGTACGACAAGAAATCCCCTAATAAAGGGCTCAGAGTTTTCAGCAAACCGGTAAAATTCTCTCTTAGAAGCTAGTGGAACGTGTGACATTACTGTTCACTACATTTTAATGGCAAAATAATAACAAATAATGTCAGTTACTTTATCTCAACTGTTTTATCTTTTCCTTGCTGAAAGCCTCTAATGGAATTACTGTCTTTTTAGCTAACCAACTTATAGAGAATGTGGGTAGTGGTTTCAATATTTATGAAATGCTCATTTTCTCATAGCGTAGAGGCTACTGATTTTTTTCTGCAAATGACAGAATTTATTAATTGATGCTTGAGCCTGTTGCATGTTCACTTTAACTTTCAAGAAGGTAAAGAACATGGCAGACACATATTCAAAGCAAAACCTGAAACATCGCTTGAAAACATCTAGCTCAAAAACTTCATTATAGAGGAAAACACCCTCTGCACAGTGAAGAAAAGCTTCAGTTCCTGTCAGCATAATTAGGAAGCCCTGAAAGAGATTTCTTAGGAATCATTTTTATGTTTTTAATAAGAGTTCTTAACCAAAAGAATATATAGGGAAATTTATATTAATGGTATTCAAAAAATTGGTAGATTCATGTATCTCATATTTACTCATGAGTAGAATAGAATTATAAGTTTATGGAGCTGACACTTCTCTGAAAAACATGAACCTGATTTGTTTGGTATAAAAAGCACCAACTCTCTCTCAACACTAAACAGGACATAGAAGGCAATGTGAATAGCCTCCAGCTATTATTTTTTAGTAGTTATGTTAGCTTTAAGTTCACTTACCATTTAGGGGAAGAACTTGGTTCAGGGAATGGACTAGAAATCTTGAAAGGCTGAACGCTTAGATTTTAATCTCAGTTCACAGTAGCCATAGGCAACTAGCCTCTGTCACAGAAGCAATTGAGAACATAAATGTTGTTAAAGTATCTTGAGCCAATTGAATAAGATAAAATTCTATAAAGATATATGCCAGGGTATTACTGATAAAGCAATGTGCTTTTTCAGGATAGCCATTATTATTAAACAGCTGGCGGAGTATATAAATCCACACAATGGGCTTCAATCTGCCACATGGTCATCCCTAAGCACAGTAGTACATAAAGTAAAGCTTTGCTTTGGTCAGAATATCTTGAAAAGCTTTCCATGGTGCCTGAATCCCAGCTTCCCACTTTCCTTTCCAATGAGAAATCAGAATAGTTACTGGGGTGGAAGGCTTAGATGACGTCCAACTGGGTCCAAAGGCTCCAAAGGCTGGTGGGCTGTGTTGTTTGGAGGTCCCTAAACAAAAGCAAGGATTATGAAGCGGGTTCAGTGTCTAACTCCTTTACAATTGGGTCCTGTTGGGCTTTTTGCATTGACAGCCTCTTAGTCATTATTATCCCAATCAAACCAGTTTTCACCATGATATTCCATATCCCATTTTCATCGCTACATGAAATGTAGTATTGAAAGGGCCGGGCATCTTTCACAGTGCATAACAGGACATTGATAACTGTGCAGATTGACTCCCAATGCAATCTCAGGCCTTGTTTCTTACTTTATGATCTTTTTTTTTTTTTTTTTCTGGACCAGCAGGCTTTCCCTCATCAGGCTGACGATGGCTCACTTCACACATAACCACTCAAGACTTCTGTGCAGCATAAAATAGAAGATCAAAAGCAGGTGGGAGAAGAGGAATAAAGGAATGAATTGAAAATTGAAAGGGATGTAGTTGGAAGGAAACAAAGGTTTATAAAAGATGAGCTCAAGTTTCATGTTGGTGATGATTAGTCTTGCAAAACCTTCTGAGACCATGGAAGCATTTGCTTGTCGAAAATCCAGGTTTTCTCTCTCTCTCTCTTTTTAAAGGCTTTTCATAATGAGCAACTCTTTTCTCATTTGAAGGGTTGAATGTTTTTTGAAAGAGTTTGGTAACACCAGGCATTTGAACACTCAGTCACATGCAGCAGAACCAGGCACATGGAGAACAGCTGATTCCACAAAACCAAGGGCTTGGGTAAGTGCCTGGCGCTGAAGCCACCTAAAGTGACTGCAAATGCTGTGTTTTTTGTAAGCACAGGAAATTCATTTTAATTTAATAATCTTTTATGATGTAAGGTGATCTCTGGTAAAACTCTTCTGGCAGTGTGGTTCCATTGATGGGTAGGGGTTGGGCTGGGGAGTATCTTAAATATCGCAAAAGGAAACGAAAAACATCTTCCCATATTTGAGGGAAGAAAGCTATAAAGAAAATTTTATGTTGTGAACTGCAGTGTCATCCCGAACATTTGGGTTGGATTTGGAGAAAGGACTTAATCTTTTGGCAGCTCATTCAATTTTGAAGTTAGAGCCTGAGGTCAAAAGTTGTTCATGATTTGCTACACCATTGTATATCAGGCTGCAATTCCATCCACTGTCCCCTGCCAGTCGGCCACAGTCCACAGATGTTCCATTAATGAGATATCAGGATCCAATCCTACCAGAAAATCTGGTTGAATATGGGTGGCATCATCTCTAATTATGAAGATGATATTATTGAAAATAATTATAGTTTGATTTTCTTTTAAATAAGAATAATTTTAATAATGAGCCTAGTATTATTAGAATTGACATGGGATCTCATGTAACCTGGGAGCTATCATGGCGATTCCCATTTCTTGGGTGACCTCTAAGTCTCCTTCCATTCTAGGATTGCCTTTGGTAAAACCAGTTGTTTTTGATGTTAGAGAGAAGACCTTACTTCTTAGGTTCATGTATTTGAGATAATAATCTTTTTGGTTCTCAGGAGTATGACATTATTTGTTTTGCTACTGTGAATTGGCTTCTTACAATTCATTTTACAGGCCAAAGAAAAACAATCTAAACTGTCAGTTTAAATAACTTTGGTAGCAATAGCAAAGAGGTTGAATTTAGTTAAAAGTTTAGTATTTAATACATAATAGAATATTTCTTTATTTCATTTTTCAGTCAGTAGCTTTATCTTATGAGACAGATATCAGAGCTATTATTTGAACACTGTTCCTAGTTATACAGTTTTTAATGTTCCTCAGTGATTTTTTTAAGTTTTTCTTTACAGAGTATTATAATACTTGGCTAAATATAAAAATCTATAAATATGCTGTATGTACTTTCATTTTAGGCATTTTCAGCAATGTCCTCAAAATAAAATATAGTAATGGTTATTGTTAATAGCCACATAATGTAATAACCAGATCATGCTAGATATCGTAACAAATTCTACATTCCTTTCAAGACATTTAAAGCTCCCCCCCCCCCCACTTTTAAGAAGGCCTATGATAATGATCCAGAGGATATTAAAAAATCAGAATTTTCTGCTAGGAAATCTTATTTCAAAGGTAACTTTTGAACCATGAGCAGATGCTCAGACTGTAATCTATTTAGTTATGGCATCAAGCAGTGAATTACTGAAGATTATGTTTTTGTAGCTTTTTCAATAGCTTGGATAGCATTAAGATCATTAGTAGAGGATGATAATCTTTTGTATCATTTAAACACCTATTAGCAATGTTTGCCTTCAAGGAATTCAATTTTTTGGTTAATTTACCAAATCTGTGCTCTTTTTTTCTTCTGTATTTAAGCTGGAATTTAAACTGGGTCAAGACCATAAATTAAGCTTGATCTGGTTTGCCGTGTTTTGCTTCCATTACAAAATGTTGTAACTAAAAACCAGGCATAACAGCTTTATCAAGACATGATAAAGTAAACGTTAGACTGACCTTTATAGATTCAGAGTCATGGCTGATTGTTACTAAGTATCTAAGTTGATTTTGAGTGGGGAATTACAGGAATTCCAAACTCTCAAGGCTTCAATGATGTGGAAAAGAAAGGTACACCTCAAAAAAGTAAATGATCGACTTGACCAGTTTGATAATACTTTGCCAAATATGGAATGAATGTCATGGGAAGTGTTTTATTAATAATGACCAGTGGTTTTTACCAGGGCTTACAGAAAAATGTATTAATGAAAAAAATAATAAAATGATATTGGTTGAAAGGAATCTCCTGAGAAATGTATTGTGTCTTGTCCCCCAGACATATGTATTGTGTTATGTAGAGTCATACAGTAATGTTTAAAGCAGGGTTGGCAAGGCCCACAAAGTAAATATGTTTAGTCTTTGTGGGTCTTTGTCAGGACCACTTAAAGCTGCCATTGTAGCTCAAAAGCAGCCCCAGAAAATATGTATACAAATGAGTGTAGCTATGTTCCAATAACATTTCATTAGTAGACACTGAAATAAGAATGTCACATAATGTTCCCTTTTCATGAAATATTATGTTTTTTACTCTTTTTCAAGCATTAAAATATGTGACAACTGCCTTTGTTCATGGTCCATACAAAAGTAGGTGTTGGGTAGAATTAAGCCTGCAGGCCATAGGTCACTGACCCCTGTTTAAAGAGTTAATTTTCTAGAACTCACAATAAGGTATAATGGTACACTAAGAAATCTAGAAAAACAAAATTACATGCCTGGATATTTACGGATTTTTAAAACATAACAAGAACGTTTAGAAACTATTATAGTGCCAAACCTTGAAGAAAAATAAAAAGCTGCTAAGCCTTAAGAACAGCAAAATTAAGTTATATTAATATGGCAATTTTGTTATTTCTATTGCTATGTATGTGAAAGTTCCAGATGCTAAAGACAAAAGGTATTTTTTTAGCTTGTTAAAAGGTGGTGGAAGTTAAATGAAAACATTAAAGCTTTATTTGTTTATAAAGTTCAGATTGTCTGTAAAATGATGTTAATTTCAAATTTTCACTAAGACTATAGTCATTTAATATGAAACTGCATCACTAGAAAGAGTAAGAAAAATGAAGACTGCTTAGTATCATATGTTAGAATTTAAAGTATATTGCTCAAAAATGCTTAACTAATAAGTAATCAGAGCTCATATAACTACACTGTCTCTCAGTTGAACATACCATCATTAACCCACTGAATATAAACCTGTAAATTACATGAATAGTGCTTTCAAATTAAACCATTTTTTAGATAAGTTATAATTTGAAATTAGAAAGAACTATGGCTAACTTTCTATTTCAAATGTAATTTATCATAATTTGGATATAAGAAGTTAAAATAATTGAATAATAAAAAACTACTAATCTTTTAGAGACTGAAAATCATTACCATAGGATATATACGTTTTAAAAACTTATGTGTATTTGTGTATAATGCACATTTGTGCTCATACATGCGAATTCTGGCACAGCAATTCTATTTAGACACTTATTTTGAATAAGTATTTGAAATTAAAGTAATATATTTCTGGTTTCTAAAAATTCCTTGCTTTCTCAATTCTATCGTAGGAATGTGTGCCATCAATGTTAATGGAATGAAAAGGAGACTTAGCAAGGGATTGTATTAAGTTTGATGCTTTTTAGTTTATAAAAGCTGAAAAAAATATTTACAGGACATTAAAAAGTGCTAGCTGAACATTTTTTTTTGTAAAAAGTGAAACAATTACTTAAAGCTATTTTGAGAACACTAAAAGTATGAATATTTTTTAAAAAACTGAATCAGTTAACTAATTCAAGTAATTTTTAATCCAAGAGTTTTATATATGTGGATATATTCTTAGACCTCAATCTCATTTTATTTTGTTTTAAAATCATATAAAAATAAATATAAATTACCTCTAGTAGTGGGTGGGTTTAAAGATTTTAATTTAATTAATGTTAGTTGAAATTGAAAATTTTCATTAATGATATAATCTTTAAAAATTAAAGCATTATCCTGATCAGGACTAGATGTTGGTATACTTGATTTTCTACATTTTGGTAGTATGGTGTTGTCCCTTTTATATCACAAATATGATAGTAATTTATTTAACAAACATTTCTTGAGAATCTACAGTGGACATGGCACTTTGTTAGATCCTACGTACAAAGGTGAGCATAATACTCTTGCTTTTATGAAGCTTACAGGGTTACTAGGGGAAAACAAAGATGTACATCTAGGTCATCTGGGGTAATTTTGAACCTCCTCTCCCACAGAGACATTTGGCAGTATCTGGAGATATTTTTGGGTGTCATGACTTGAGTGGGAGTACTCCTGGCATGGAGTGAGAAGAAGCCAGGGATACTGTTACACATTGTACAATGTTGTTAAAACATCCTATAAAAAACAATGATCTAGTCTAAAATGTCAACAGTGTTGACGCTGATAAGCCTTGACTTCAACGTAGTACATTTTTAGAACTGCTATTATACAATGGCACAGAGACTCTGGCAGAAACAGAATAGGAAATGGTCAACGCTACAAGCAGAAAGTGTTGTCTTGTTAGAGGAATATCTGAAAGAAGAGCTATATGTGAACGAACTCTCAAAAAGTTGATTGGAGAGATGTTCCTGATAAGAGGGGGTGGAGTTGGGAAGAGGAGCTTTGCAGACTGAGACAGCAAAATGAGCAAAAGAATGAATGTGTGTGTGAAATAACTTCTCATCTTTGGGAATGATAGGTGTAGAGTGGGTAGAATGGGTATTGGAGAAGAGAGATCTGAGGTTGGGCAGGTAAGTAGCAGTCTTATCTCAGAAGTTTTTTCTTTCTTTGTTTTGCTACATCATAGAGTTGGGTTTTCCCCTGAAAGGTGTTGAAGATGATGAAGGGTTTCAAGAAAGGACATCACATGGTCGGGCAGTCTATTTGTAGGTTTTATCAGCCGTGGTGTCAAGTGTCATGATTATTTAAGGAAACACATAATACTACATCATTTGATCAGAGAAGAGCCATAGGAAGAAAATGTCTCCCAGTGGGAAAAAAGGATCCCTACTTTTTTTCCTATAAATGTTTTGCTTCTGATTGTATACTTTTCACTTTATTGGTCAGAACCACATGAAAGCAATAAAAACTCAACCTACTTTAATTTATGTAGTTTTGTAAATGTATTCTGTTGCTGACTGGCTGAGTCCCACAGGCCTAAGCCACCATGTTGTGGTATTAGGTAGCATTGTCCTTTCTTAGAGGTTCTGTTTTCAAATTTCTGTTATGGAGC